CCGTAGCCGATTCCACCTTTGTTTAGGTCATCCGCCGCACGGGAGTCTCGATAAACTTTCAAACCTTGTCTCCACGTCCCCACGCAATTATGGACCAGCCTCGGAAATTGAGTTTGCCTAGACCTGTCTCCCGCCGGAATTGTAGCAATCCAATGTTTCGTGATGTCAAAACATATATTGTATGATCACACTTTTGAGCTAACAGGAATACCGTGTAACGTGGCTTTATTTAAAAAGCCCATGTATTTGGCCGCGCTAAAACATAACAAACATCAAAGTGATAAGACTACTCGCGAAAAACGAGAGATCTCATTCAAGCTATCTTAGCTTAGAGGCTGAGTTCGACTGCCTAGTGTTAAGGCGTAAAAAATTAACTATAGGACCTAGCTATCAATTTTCTTTAATACCTATACATACCCGTAAAAACTTCGTTTCTAGACCGTTCTCAGATTCTGTTGCTATAGTCTGTCCCAAGGTTCCTATCCCCCCGTCTCTATCTCCGACCCGGAAGAGTCACAAGATAAGTTACTTATGCCTCTACCAGAACAACAAACCATCGAAGTATTAACATCGCCACCTTCATAGAAGCATATTCTAGACCCAACATAGGCTTAGTGAGTGACGTATAATCTTCATTATCAAGATGCTAAGATGGGACGCTAGATCTAGACCGGACATCACTGAGCAAGATATAAGATGGATGAGGATAAGCACGTTCTGATTTAATTTGAAGCCAATCAAACCTTCTTCATCCGGCCTTATATCAAATATGTCGGGCGCTAGATATGCCATCACATCACTTCTGGCTTTGAGCCTGAATATTTTGAATGCTTATGCACTCCCACTTGAGAAAGTGATGAATATCACTGTACCTGAAAATGCATTCCAGCATAAAGACCCACATCTTGTTTGCGTACCAACTCGATGGTATAGTTTTGTTCTCTTTTACCTCGTCAACTACGTTGCACATGCGGCGACCGTTAAATCCCTACCAGGCGAGGGGCTTCGCTCAACTATCTTTAGCATCGTTTCCTCTCTTTTCTTCCCTTATTACGGTATTTCAAGAGGCATCGAAGCTACCGTTCGCTGTGGTATTCTATATCGGGATAAGCTTACTAGAGCCGCTCGGTGCGGCGCATTGTGCACTGTTGTCCGCACAAACACCTGGGAACCGCGGGTCAACCAGATAGTCAAAGGCGTACCTATCCCAAAAGACAACGGGAATTACCGCTGGCAAATCTCCTCTGGCACGGACCTTCATATAATAGATTTGCAGTCAAGCTTTTGGTCTAGACGGGTTCATAGACTACACATTCTTCCACCTAAGGGATATGGCATCGCAATTCTACCACCTAATGCCGTCGTGCAATCAAATCTACTAAACGCTAATGCGAGCGACTCAACGAACAAAAAAGCCAGGCAGATGACTCTCTCATCATCATATAATATTGTTAAGGAAATAGCTGCTGCTGTTCAAATCATCTTTGCGATAGCTACATTGGTTCGCACAACCAATGGAGCCCAGATCAGTATGTTTAGCTACGCAGCTTTCGGTTGGACAGTTCTACCCTACCTGATCGTGTCTACCGTCAATATAGCTGGCAATTCGGTAACACCAGATTACCCAGCCCTCTATTTAGTCGATTCATTTGAGCTCCAGGAAGCCGAAGCAATTGCAAACAACGACAATAATGCTAGCGGTCAAATTGGTTTCGATGGAAAAGTTGGGAGACTTATACAACCTGACATCATACCGTGCACATTCGAAAAGCCAGATAATAAGCTTATCTGCACATTTTCGTCTCAAACGGCTGCTTCGCCTCAAGAATCTGACTCATCTCAGAAGACTGTTTCAATTGATCAAGATGCAAATGAGACACTGCAAATTCCAGCATGCGCTTCTTTTAGCACCAGTGGCACTCGAGGCTGGGATCAAAAAAGCATTTATTTTGTTTATTTCTTGACATGTTATATCTTTGGGGCGATTCCATACGCTGTTATCGGTTCTCTCACTCATTTTCAAGCCGGTGAAAGCACCCTAGCGCAACGAGTGCTGACCCAATTTTGGCTCGCGATGGGAATTTTAATCGGTGCATTACTCCCCCCCCTTTGTCAGCATGATTCTCCGTATACATTCTTTGTTCCACATGGAAGATTTGGAGCACTACGAAACGCAAAACATCCGGACGCTTGGCTACTCGCTTATATTGTTTTGTTTTACGCTGGACCTGCTATTGGCGGATATGCCATTGTAGGGCTGATGTTAAAACAGTACGGGACCTGTTTAAAGTACTAATTAATCAATAATGCACAGAGGGTGCTTGTCCTCAATTTATGAATGCAATATTCAATAGATACTAGACCTTTCCAAGTACCACAAATATATTTACACAATGTCCACTATCAGGTGTATTATTGAATACTCGCTTGATTTTGATTGTACATTTTTGTGCTTCAGCCAATTCCACAGCTATTTTGCTAATTTTGGGCGACTAAGCGCTCATGGTTTCGTATAGATCGTCCTCTGAGACCATTAGCACCATTCTGCAGCTTCCCGATACCCTCATACCCTACAGTCCTCGAGTTCCATCATTGGGGTCGAGATGATCTAAAACATCCTATCACCTCAGTGCATTTCGTTTACCAAAGTCACAGCTGGACAAAAACATTGATCGATGCAAGCCTCCTGGAGTTGTGGGGTGATTACATAATGTATGGTAACGAAACCGCCGGCCCCCCCCCNNCAAACCAACCCACCCCTATCCCCGCCCTCTTCCCATCCTTGAACAAACACGGCGTCAGCGTCTATAATAGAGTATATTCTGTAGATGTTAGATGTACAATAAGGAATGATGTTACATACATCCATCATACGGTGTCTTCAACTACGGTTAAACGTGATGTTCGTATTGTGATTGTATTTGAGTAGTAATTTTTAATACGTTTGTTCCTGGAAATGGTACGCTCTACTTTCTAGATTAAACTTTGAATAAATACCCGTTGGGATGGTCCAACAAGGACCTGCCATCTCAAAGCACTCAAGGCAGGCGTCAAAATCGTCACAAAGCCCACATTGTAATATGAATTACCGGGAAGAAATGATCGGATGCACACATCGCAAAAGCTTGACAATCTGTTCGAAGAAACAAAAGCACATTTCATGTCGAGCTCTGCCTTAGGTATCGGAACACTAGTCCTTTGAGAAAATTCAAGCAAGTGCTAAACGACCTTTTTGTTGCCACTCTTCTTTGCCCACCAAAAAGGACTTCGACCAAGACCATCTTCAAAGTCCATACCCTCTTGAAATTTGAGTAAGTGCTGCACCACTTCCTAATGTCCCTTTCTCACAGATGCAAAAATTGCGGTCGACTCATAGTTGTCTTTGATAGGCATCAGTGACGAGAACTAGCTCAATCATCTGGGTGTGCCCATTTATCACAAACAGCGGCGTCCGGCGGTCTTTGCCTTTCGACTCCCAATCAGCGCCCTTCTTGAGTAGCAGCTTGACGATGACCTCGTTTCCGTTCTCTGCGCTCTATATGACAGGGGCGTCCGGCCATAATTGACTTTCGGATCGATTTCAGCACCCTTCTCAAGTAGCAGCTTGACGATGGCCTTGTGCCCGTTCTCTGCGGCCCATAACAACGACGTCCAGCCATAATTGTCTTTCAGATCGATTTCAGCACCCTTCTCAAGTAGCACCTTGACGATTGGTTCGTGTCCAAAAGACAGTAGGTGGATTCCCCTTACAGTATAAACTAGAAAGAAAAATCAAGGTTTAAGAATATATCATAATATGAAATAAAACTTAACAAAAATTTGGAAAAATAATTCATGACATTATTAAGCATTTATAACAATGAGGGTGCTGTGTCAACTCAGTATGGAAAACTCCAGCACCAACTTTGCACTGCAACAGTTGATATGCAACTAAATCTAAGACCGGAGCCTAGAAGAGGCCGAATTATGTGCCCAATTCGGTCAGTTTCACATCTCGTGCACTTTTTAAACCCTACCGTACAATAGGATGTCTGCTAGGCAAGCTTAACGAATTTCGCAACCTGGCACGGCCGACCGGCACTGTCCACAACCCACAACATGTAGTATCCCGGAGGAGCTACATTACCATTCGGCGGAGCTGTTGCCCGAACATGGCTATCACCCGAATGATAGTCAAATTTGAGGCCAACGTAGCGTTGATCGAAATCGTACGCATGGGTACAAGACCCATTACGGATTAGCGCAACGCGAGTAATGCTGGCAGGATTGGAGACTGTGACCTCGAAGCTTTGGCCATATGCTGTTGACTTTGGTGCGCTGGATATTATAGGACGTGTACCAACTGCATAGTTGGGTTCAAAGAGCTCAATTCGTTTGACGCCATGAAGGTTTGGGTCACCCATTTGCCGATTGATATTTCCACCACAAGTCAATACTGTTCCGGTTGGCAACAGCAATGCCGCTGAGTGGTAGTTGCGGCTGTGAACTGGTAAACCAGTGTCCACCGTCCATGTGCCGAGTCCAGGCCTGTATCGACCTGCCGCCCAGTCGATGTTGGGATCATAAAGCTCAGCTGGCATACGCTGACCACCATCATGTTCCTCATCCATAACTCCACCAACAAGGCATACTTGTCCGGTAGGTAGAAGCGCAGCACAGCTATTGACGCGGTCCACTTTCTGTGCAGTTTCTACAGGCTGCCATACCGGACCAGTGGCATTCAGATCGATACGCATCGCGCTTGCGCGACCACAATGCATGACACGTGGACTATAGTTTTCTTCAGGTAGAAGAGGCAGCAGAACGCAAGGAAAGCTCCAGCCATCATATCCAGCAGCCTCTGGAATTGGCGTGCCTATATAGGCACCACTGGCAAGGTCGAAGAATGAGCTGAAATGAGGACCATCGGTAGCGGGGAGATTTCCTGTGGTGTGGCTTGCCCAGTCAACTGGCATAGCCGTCGCGAAGAAGAGTTGCCCATCGGGCAGTTGGAAGGTGCGGGCAAAAAATAAGGGACGAACTTTCGGTTCACCCTGATTTGGTAGATAGTTATTGCCGTCGTTGGCAAGCAGGGGCATCTGCGACCATTTATTGGTGTTGACATCAAAACGTTCTGGATTAGCGTTACGATGTCGTGTGTCTTCTCTACGGGCGTGGCCGAAAAGGGACAAAACGTCGCCATTGGCGAGGGTGACCGCTCCAGGGTACCAACGACCTCCACCGGATGTACCACCGCCATGAGGATTTTCGGGTAGAAGCTGAGCTGTTTCAACCCATTTGCGCTCGTGAGCATTGTACAGCCAGCAGCGTCGGTGGCCCCCAAATGCCAGTTCGTGCGGATGACCCGGACCCGGATGATCAGGTTCCCATACACTGGTTCCACCAATGATCAATAGCCGGCCATCCCCAGTAAATGCATGGCCGCAGCAGAAGACATCACTGTCTGGCGATGGAATAGAAGAGCTGACCAGCTGATGGGTCTGTACATCATAAACGCGTGTTTTGCGGAAATCCCCGTTTGGCTCTTGTTGGTCTTTCCAGTGTTCGTCTCCGCCGAACAAGACCACTTCACCATTCTCACCGCTTGGGACCAGGGCAGCATGGATGGCAAGGATCTGAGAATCAACGATATTGGGGTTCCAGGGCATATTGGGACATGGAAGCGCTCAATACCTGAGGAGCTGAACTTTAGTTAAGGACGCGGCGTTTGTTCACTCTTAAATATATAAGAATGACTTAATCTAATACATCACTGGCATTGTTCTAGTTCTGCTTCCTGATGTAACTGTGATATCACCTGCACATGAACGAGGACGATAGTCACATGCAAGGCCAAAAAGACGAAAACGGAGTGCCAAGAGTTTTCTAAAAGCACTAGAAGAGTCCAGCCATGAAGCGGCAGGCAAATGTTAATTGGTACTTCGATACTGAGAACCATATCTTCCCATCGCCCACCGCTACAGGTTATAGGAAAGAACTCCCCGAGCTATCCTCGCCGCTCAGAAATGATTCCGCAATCTAGGTATTATTAATCTCGATAGGCCTTTTACAGGTTTATCATGCTTTGTATCTCCACGTTAAAACTCAAAAGGTTTACAATATTATCCTGATGGTACATGGTTTTATCATCCTCAGAGTTTGAATTTTGTAACCCTCGCCCGAATCTGAGCTAGGCTAGAATTTCACCGTACGCCACATTTTTTATTCCACTTAGAACTAAACTTTTTCTGGCGGCGCATGCCTGTCGAAACTGAGCCTTCAAATTGTCGTCGACAACATTTGTTTCTTGCCATGCGCTGTATTCTCTCACAGCTAAATCTCGGGGCCCGTCAATTATGAGCGGATCAGCTGTCTGTCCATGTTGCGGTGGAGACGTAGCCAGCGTTGCAATGGAGTTGGTCGCCGGTGATTGCAGGTGATGCTGCCCTCCCATGAAGTTGATATTAATAAGTGGACAATTGCCTGCAGCAAGCATTTTGTTGCCTTTAGCTTGTAGACATTCCAATTTCTGCTGCTCTTAAAGGAAGAGCTCTTCACGAACAGCGTCAGGAACATCGTCTTGACGCTCCAGAATGCCACCACCTTCAACATAAGCGATCAGGCGTTTCAAATGATGTGTCCTTAGCTGATAGTGTTTTTTCCCATGTGGGTCCTGCCAGCAGTGCGGACGCATGGGAGATTGTACCCCAATTGGCGACTACCAATAGCTTCGTCGTTCAAGTACCTGGAGCACCGATTCAATGACTTCCTACTGAACTATGCTCGAGAGACCATCAAGGCTCGAGAAAAAGGTCAAACGAGAGTCCATCCGTGCCCGAATGAAAGCACGTTACTTCCTATGTTAGCCTCCATGTCGACAATAAGTGCTGTACAATGTCCTATCGCTATTACCACGGAGAGAACGGCGTCAGTTCCTGGTTTCGCTCCAGACTTCGAGATTATGAAACCCGCTCTCTCAAATACAGTTTCAACGAACAGGCAGAGTCCGTCCGTGAATATTAAGCTATCTAGTACCTGTTCTCTTGTTCTCAGTGACCCATTCGCTGGAAATATCAACCTATTCAATTCGCCTACGCTCTTTTTCGCTGACCGCTTGCATATATACTTCGAGACAAAGGAGAGTTCGGCGTTTGAATACGCATCTCAGTTTCCTGTGTACTCCATTGAACAAATCACTGTCGATCAGGCGACCA